TCCAAACAGGGAAATTAAGCCCCCGTCCTCTCTGGGTTTTCTTCTATCATGTGACACCACACTATGACTTGCTTCTCAGGGGTTCCACACTGCCAGCGCATTTGGCATTTCTATCGGCCTGCTGGGTGAACACTTCCACAGGCCTCCTCCTGTCTCCCTCCTCACCCGCCTGCGGCACGTCTGGATTCCTAAGCCATTCACCCATGCCCGCCCTCTCGGCAGCGCTTGCTCTAATGCTTGGCTAATAGTTCTCTGTCTCAGGCACTGTCCAAACGCCTCCTATAAATCAGAATCCAATTACGGTGGTGAGAAAATTGGAAGCAAATTTAATAAGCGCAGACCCCTCCCACATGCTGTCTCTTCTCTTTTCAGTAATGAGAACTCTTTAAGGGAAAACGCCTTTTTCCTTTAACTGAGGATGTTCTCCTGACCCCTCATCTGAAGCCCCTGAGGATGGAAAGATAACGAAAAGGGGGCTTCTTCCAGCTCCTCTTTTCCTCTTTGCACATAAGGCAGATGGAAGAGAGTAGTCAACTGTCTTTCCAGTCTTACATTTTCTTTCATTTGTTCAACAACGTTTACTGAATTCCTACCACACACCAGGCACTGTAGTAGACGCCATCAAAGACTGCTCCCCCTAGAGGTCAAGTGGTGCCATAACTAGCTGAACCTTAGCTACAAGGCATCAGGGGAACATAAAGGTGGACCAGGCGATGAAGCCTGCATCAGTGGGGTCGGGTCCCACAAGGGAACCAGGAGTTCAGCATGGGGCGTGGCCACCGGTAAAGGAGTGGTCCTGCAGTAGGAGATTCTTGGTTAAAGTGATTCCGACTGCCAGCAGGATGGCAGCATATAGATCCTGTGGTTGAAGGAACTGGGAGAAGAGGGAGGGGCAGGGATGAGCCAGAGAAGCCAAAAGTCTCCACAGGGCCTGAGACAGAAGTCCTGTCACCTGAACAGAGGGAGAGCGTGCAGCATGTAGGCAGGAAGCTGGCCTTATTCCAGGGCCTCTACTTTCTACTCAAGCCCTGAGGCCTTCTGCTGGGCCACCCCACTGTGGGCTTCATCTAGTCCACAAAAGCAAGCTGCAAGTGCATGCTGATGCCCTGTGGTTTTCAAACTTGAGTGGGCATCAGAATCACCTATAGTGCTTGTCAAGACACAGACCGCTGGCTCCCACCCCCAGTGTCCCTGATTCAGTAGTTCGGGGTTGAAGCTTCAGAATCTGCATTTCAAACAAGTTCCCAAGTGAGGATGGTGCTGCTGGTCTGAGGTTTGGGGAACCACACTTTGAGAACCGTTGTTCCAAGCACTTGCTGTTCAAAGAGGGATCCCTGGCTGGGCAGTATCAGCCTCACTTGGTAGCTTGTTAGAAATCAGAATCTCAGGCTGAATCAGAGGTTAACCAGATCCTCAGATGATTTGATTGCCTATTTAAGTTTGAAAAACACTTACCTAGAGCAGCAGTTCTTAATCCTGGCTGCTTGTTAGAATCAACTGGGGAGCTCAGAAAAGAGATACTTCAGCTGGTCAGAGTCTGGTTATCAACATTTTTAAAAAGCTCCCCAAGTGATTCTTCCGGGATGGCTGGACTGAGAACTGCTGAGGCTCATCCTCATGCAACACACTCCACGTCCATAGGGGTTGGAATCTACCATGCTCACTTTTCTAGCATCGATCTTAACCTTGAAACCCACCACTGTTCCTGCCTGCCCCAGCACTACTCCTGACAACTTAGTCATCTTCCTAATGCCCCTTCCTCATACTGGTGTTCAGCTGCATCTTTTGTTTGAGCGTCTTTAGTTTTCTCAGGAGAGTCCTCCCCTTCTATTCCAGGCTCTGCAGTGTCAGCCTGGCCATATTATTACCCTGTAATAATAACAATGGACATTTTTGGACAATTTACTATGGCGTAGGGAAGTACTTTACATATATTTTATTTGATCCTCACAAAGGCTGCATTAGGTAGGTATCATTATTGTTATTTGTATCCTGATTTTTCAGAAGAGGAGACTACAGTTCAGAGAATCCAGGAAATGGTGACTTCACTCAGCTAGTGAGCAGCATAGCCAGGACTGGAGGCGGGTGATCCGGTCCCAGAGGCTATACCCTTAACCCCTGGGCTGCACTGACTTCTGCTTGATTCCCCCTTACAGGAAGACTTGGCCTTGTCCTGTCGCTAGGAGTGGGAACGCATGTTTATGTTTCACCCTTGAGAACCTGGGTAACAGGGGGCTTGCTTTACAGCAGGGTTCTCATCACAATTTTGTCCCGCAGGGGACATTTGGCAAAGTCTGGAGACACTTTTTAGTTACAACGTGGAGGGGGCTACTGGCATCTAGTGGGTAGAGGCCAGAGAGGCTGCTAAACATCCTACAGTGCACAGGACAGCCCTACCACCAAGAATTATCCAGGCCAAAATGCCAGTTCTTGTGGAGATTCCGTGGTCTACAGCATGTAGGTCACCAGCAGCCCAGCTGTTCGGCGCTGGGCAGGCAGGGCCCAAGAATGGGTCCCAGGGCTCTGTCAGCCAGGCAGGCAAGCCCCAGGCGTTGCATCAGGATGATGTTAGGATATAGCCGGGAGGCTGGAATCAGAGGATTAAGGGACTTAGTTGGTGACTTCAACTTCATGAACAGAGATTCCCTGGGAGGCGAGGGCTGGAAGTAGGAGATCCTGTAGGGGACTGTTTGAGAGAAGAATACTGGGCCTTGCTGGCGGTCTCTGGAACTCTCATTACTACAAGGGCTATATGGTCACAGGGTCAGCCCAGTACCAAACTCAGCCTGGAGATGGTTGATTCGATTGGTGGCTTCTCACTGCTGGCCTGGGGCCTTGCACATAGTAGGTGCTTAATCCCCCTGCCATGGCTACCTGGTCTCATGTGCTTGCCCTCAGTCTCAATCCCCTGTCCTTTCCCCTTCCTGTTCATTCAGATTAGGATCCATAAACCTGAAATTCTCTGAGTAACACAATCCTAGCTCCCACAGGGCAAGGTTGAGGCCCTGAGGCAGACATATGGCTGACACACTTTTCCTTTTTTTCTTGCCAAAGGGTGTCTGGATTCTGTCTAAATCCTCTCTTCCCTGCTTGCTGCAATCCCAGCAGATCACACTTACTTAACAGATGGAACACACTGGGCTAGGTGCAGAGCCTGGAACTGGACCTGGTGAACTTGGATCCTTGGGGACAGGCTCAGTTCTTTATCCGCGACCATCGTATATATAGGCCCTTGTAAACCTCTTTCATTTCTGCCTCTCAGATCATAGAATAGGATGCACACAATTAGTGCTGCTCAGGGTATCCCTGCCTGCTCAGTGAATTCCCCAAGGCCTCCCTTCTGCAGGCGGGAGCATTCAGAGGCGTCTCTCTGAGAGCTCTTACCCAGATGCACCAGCTCCTTTCCTGGCCAGGAGATGTCCTCTGTCCCTCTGGACGACCTCAGTAACTAGACTCAGGACAAGGGAGGGACCACCTGCCCGAGACCCAGTGGGGCTTCTGAGCCTCTGCCTCCTCCCTCTTCCCTGTTCTCCTATATGGAGTCTCTGCTCAGGGAAATAAAATCACCCAACATCTAAATAAAGTTCTACCAGGTGCCAAGGACCAGGATAAGTGCAGGAGAATTTTAATAGGAATAATGCAAGACTCCGACTTTAGAAAGCTTACAGGCTAGCAGCAGGGAGTGTTCTAGGTATAGGCTGTCCCCTGGGTCTCTGGGTGTAGGGGACCTCCAGGCCCTGCTGCTAAGGAAGAGTCCTGTGGGTACCTTGAGGGGACAGTTAAGTTTGCAGACTGTCAGAGTTAGAAGAAGCCACAGATATCATCTAGCTCATCGCCCTAGCTTTATCCACAGGGAAACCAGGACTCCAGCCCCTTCACGAGACACATGCTGTATAAGCCAAGGTTTCTGAGCTGTACAGCCTAGGTGGGGAAACTGAGTCCACCAGCCTTCACATATTGCCAACTTAAGCAACACCAGATTGACCAGCCTCATGAGTCATGAAAATTCTTACTACCCTGCTCCCCAACATCCACAATTTGGTGCCCGTGGATGGAAACTAATATAGAAAGCTAAGAAGTGAACACCAGTCCTACAGCCTTCAAGCCCCAAGCAAGCCAGCCCACTACTTCGGTGTGGTGCAAAGTCCACTTCCTGATGCAGACAGGCACGCATCCTCATGGGCCTTTGGCACACCTGGGCCTCCAAGCTTGGAGGCTAGCAGGCCAGGAGGGAGGAGCTGGGGTTGAGGCTCACCTGCTTACTACTCAGGCCTCACCAGGAAGTGAAGGGCTGGCATGACTCTAGGAAGGATTTGTAATTAAAAAAGTGCCTTCACAAAGACTGTTTTTGCTGTGAAGCAAAGCTTTCTACATTGTGCCAGGCCTGGTCTCTACAACCCACCTGCAGGTGTGGCCTCACCAAGGGGATGGCAGGACAGAGGCTGTGTGGCAGAACAGCGGCGCAACAGAATGGGCTGCTGTGAAGCTGACAGCGGACCCAATGGCAAGAGAAGAGGCCCCTCTGGCTTCTCTTCTCATGTGGCAAAATATGCCTGGGCTGTCAGATCAAGGACCTCTCCCAGTAACAGAAGAGACTACCAATCTGACTTCCCAGGGGTCTGTCCCTCCTGCCCTCCTTCAGTTTGAAAGCCAGGCCAGGCCATGGGAATCTGCCAGGGACAAACAGGCTCTGGCTGTCGGGTTTTTAGTGCTCCATGATTCCTTGGCAGATGTCACCCAGGGTGACCAGTGGGTGAGCGGGGCAAGGTGCAGGTGAAGGAGGCCTCGCACCCTCTCCACGGGGGCGCTCTGGGATGGCTCACAGCAAAATGCAGCACAGACAGGGTAAATTACCACATCATAAACCCTTTAGCATCCAACTGGCAACAAATGGTTTACCTGCCCCAGTTCTTGGCACTGGGCACTGCATGCATCAAGCCTGCTGTTGATCTGTCATGACAGCAGGGAGGGGAAAGGAGTAACGGAGAAGGAGAAAGTACCTTAAATGGCGAGTATCAGGGACAGCCCGATTGCTGGAGATCCGCTCGCTCTCCCGCTGGTTGAAAGCATACAGCTTATAGGGATCATCGCCAACGCGCCACTTTTTGGCATTCAGATACCGCCGCTCATCAAACTGGTCCCACTGGTCATCCCAGTCAGGCTCTGAAATCTGTGTGAACAAACAGGAAGTCTGTGAGAATGGCTCCTGGCCCTCCATTAGCCCCCTCTGTCTGTTGGTGTAACCGCAGAGACCAGCCTTATTCTGGTATGGTTTAGCTCAAAGATGGACACAGAGGTAGGATGTCAATAAAACCATCGGCAACAATAAAAACAAACAGAACAAGGGCAATCAAGGCAGCCACCACTTTACTGCTCACTGTATTCCAGGTGCTGTGCTGGGACCTTTCCTCACGTGACCTCGTGTCACTCTTACAGTAGTTCTATGAGAGGGATATTGCTCACATTCCCATTATGCAGACAAGGAAACAGTTTCACTAGTCTAAGTACCTTGCTCAAGATCCCACAATTAGGAAGTGGCAGGGCCAGGACTTGTATTCTAGCATCCCCACCCAGAGGCCACCTCTCCAGGGTAATTTGAGAACAGCCGGAGGAAAAGTGCCAGCACAGTAGCATAGTAGGTACACAATGACTGTCATTCCTTCCTCTGCCATAGGAAGGCAGCATCACGAAGTGGGCGATCCATCTATAATGGTGTGCTACCCACTAGACAGACATCCAGTGTGTTCCTTTCTTCCCCCAACCAAGGAATCTGCAATTATTAAGAAGCATCAATGGGGGAGCAAGTGATAACCCTCACCACATGTGGAGACAGCACTTTAGAGCATACAAGGTGGTTTCTGTATTCATGGTCTCAATTCATCCTCCCTAAACCCTCTGTGCTGAGTTGGGAAGACAAGGTTTCAGAAAGGTTACTGACTTGTCTGAGGTTGCACGGGTGGACAGTGGCAGAACCCAGAGCAGAGCTCAGTCTCTGGGGCCCTCCAGTGCATTCCCACAGCAAAGAAGGTGAAAGGATGTACACAGGGAGGGGATGCCCAGAGCCCAGGCTGCCTCATCTGCCCACCCACGCCAGCTCCACAGCCAACACTCTCCATACAGCCAGCAGGAGGTGCGGACTTCAGGGGCTCAGCAAGCCGGATGCTTCCGTTCATGGCCATGGCCTAGTGGATGCGAGCACTGTCATCCTAGGGGAGAGCCAGTCTGTCTCCAAGAAAGCTCAGACCTTTTAGGTTCATCAAAGCCAAAAGAACACTGCATCTCTGGGAAGAACCTATTGACCAGGCTCTGACCTGGAATGTGAGGGCTGGGGCCCTGGGGCTGGCATTGTCACCAAGGATGACATGCTCATCCATGTGTTACTGACCCTAGTCGCTTTGCAAGTATCTAAAGCTGCCTGGTTACCACCCATCCCATCACTGACCAGGATGCCCTTCTGCTCTTAGGGAACCTCACAGGAAGGCACAGAGCAGGCCCTGCAGACAGCAGTGCGGGTGCTCAGCCCACAGAGGCAAGGTAAGGTAAAAGGGGCCGCTTGCCAGTGTGCACATTTGTTCAGGAACCATTCGATCTTATCTGGTAATTGATCTCTCTCTCTCTCTCTCTCTCTCTCTCTTATCTCCTTTTGAAACAGCATTCTCCTGCTAATAGCACAAAATGAAGCTTTGGAAACCAGCGATTTTTATCCAATAATTGATTTTATTAATGTCCTGTGATACTGCTGCTACACAGGGGGAATATGGGGGGGGGGGTGTGAAACTCCCAGCCAGTGCTGTACAACATCACAGCCTGACAGCTGTCACCTGTGCTTAGAAGATCACGGCAGGGTGACCCTGACATCCCATTCTCCAGGAAAGGGTCATGGGGCCGTGAGCCATCTCCTGCTGGCTCATTTCCAATTTAATTCATTGCAATTCTCTAAATAAGTTGGGAGCCCTACAGTGCTCTGTGCTACAGAGGGGAGATGTGGAGACGGAAGGTCCCTGCCCTTGAGGGGACTGCCGTGTTGCAGAGAGACACGTGAAGATACTCACAACACCTCTAACAGAGGAGTGAAGGAAATGGGAGCAGCTTCCTGGAAGAAGGGTCAAATGAGTTAGAGCTGAAGGATGAGCAGGGATTTTACTTTGCTTAAGGGGAGACTGGGAGGGGAAATACGCGTGTCCTGAAAATCCAGATAAGAGGTAGGAAGGCTGGAAGAGGAGAATCTGTTCAGGAAATGGGTAGCTCACAGATGGGGAGGCCAGAGTGTGGACTGTAAGAGAGCATGAATGAAAGAGGACTCCAGAATGCAGCTGAGTCTGTACGAAGCAGGTCATGGGGAAAATGTCTCTGGCCACAAGTGTAGGAGGGAGTGGAGGGAAGAGAGCTGCCGCAAGGAGACTAATTGAGATGTGACCTCAGTAATCTAATCTCCTGGGAAGAGAAGCCTGAGCTGAGGCCTGCTGGGTCCAGCCATCACTAGAGAAGCAGGTGGAGGGGCAGTCACCTGTGGAGAGGCACAGGGGCTGGTGAGAGGGCAGGTAACCAATCCCTTGGCCTCATCCCAAGCCCCTACTCTCTAGTTACACCAGACAGGGCACAGGGCCAAGAGGGCATGAGGTGGGGTGACCTGCTTGGCCTGGCAATCACCAGCCTAAAGGGTAGTTAAGCATCCCTGGCCTCCCTGGCAGGATCTGCCTCCCTGGAGATGGTGCATGAGAACTCAGTGGGATGCAGGACTCCAGAAAGCCTAGAGCCAGAGCCGCAGCCAGGTTGGCGAGAGAAACCATGTGAACAGTCAGCGGAGGGCATCCTTGGAGGGGATGGCTCCCTGAGATGGTCATGTGCACAGAGCTGGTTCACACTCTGGTGCACTGAGATCCACGGGGATGAACTCCCAGCACCGGGAGCTTGCCTCTCTATCATAGCTGGATGTATTAAATAATGATGACGCTGTGTTTAAAATACTAGCACTACCATGTGAATAGCAATTTCTATTTCACAAAGCAGCTTGCGCATATTGTCGTAGGATCCACACGCAACCCCATTTGTACAGGGAAGGACGTGGCTTAGGTTAGATGGTTTGCCCATGTGCGACAGCTAGTAAGAGATGGGATCACCGAAGGGATCCTCTCAGAGCCTCCCAGCGCCATGGTCTGCTCTGCCCTACGAGGGACAGAAACAAGGGGTGTCTCCTCTGCTGAGGATGAGTGTGCAAAGACCCCCCCTGAGGAGAGGAGTGAGGGACATGCCCACAGGAAGGGCCAGGCACTCTTGCCCTGCTTGCCCCTGAATTGAGTGGCTATGTCCCTCCCAGGATTTCTGAAGGGTCACTGACTGCCGGATGCATTCAGAACTAATTTGGAGTTGGCTTCCAAGCTCTTCCACTCACGAGTCCCCACGTCCAGCCTCTAAGGGTCCAGAGCACTGTATGTTGGACCCAGGCTTTGGATTCCTGGCTTCCTGGCTCATGTGAAGATCCGGGAACGCTTCATTCAGAACATGCACTTTCACCTCTCCAAACTTTCCTCGCCCCTACCTCACTTTCTGACCAGAGTTTCTTCAATCTAGAGTGAGTGTGTTTCAAACAATAAGTACCATGCCACAAACAGAAAACAAAGACAATCTTTTAAACAGAAAATATCTGAGTAAATGAGCCAAACTCCTGGCCCAGCCCAGTGCTTAAATAATCTGGCACCAAAGATGAAAGCTCAAAAGCACATCTGTTAAGTTTGCTTAATTTCTTTCCTCCCACCATGCTTCCATGAGAAATCTTGAATTCCCTTCCCTCCATCCTTTCCTGGCCTGTTTTCTCTCACTCCAGTTTCAAGCTGGTTATTTGGCTCAGGAATCATGGGTGGAGTTTCCCCTTCTGTTAGGTTTTGAAGCTGCCTCTATTTCCCACTGATGTTTTTTCCCTCCTCCCTTATTTTCCCCAGCTTGGTACTACTAAATCTCTTTCATTGTCCTAATTCTCTTCTTTTCACCAGATTTAAGAAAATCTCTATTCCTTGATAAATCTTCTATCCTACTCTGAACTGCGCCTGATCCTTAAAAGAACTTGTCAGACTTACCCTATAACAAAACAGCTAACACCTTGGGGGGCACCTAACATAAATATTTACATTTAATCCTCACGATAAAGACATCAATATTACCATTCCCATTTTCTTTTTTTTCCTGAGGAAGATTCGCCCTGAGCTAACATCTGTTGCCAATCTTCCTCTATTTTGTAAGTGGGTCACCACCACAGCATGGCTGCTGATGAGTGGTGTAGGTCTGTGCCTGGGAACTAAACCAGGGCCGCTGAAGCAGAGCATGCTGAACTTAATCACTAGGCACTGGGGCTGGCCCTACCATTCCCATTTTATACCCGGGGAAACCGAGGCACAGAGAGATTGAGTAACTTGCTAATTGTCACACAGGTAGTACATGGTAGAGCCAGGATTTGAATCCAGGTAGCCTGGCTCTAGCTCCTATGCTTATAACCATTAGGTGCCACACCTTATCACAGCCTCAGTGCCATTTTCTTGGGTCATCTTCAAAGACTATGTGTTTCCCGTTAATTGTTCTCAGTCAACTTCTTTCTCTGCTTTTTTGAGGGATCTTCTTCCCTCAAAGGATTTCTGTGCCCACTTTCACCGTCACCCCAACTGCTCTTCATTCTCCCTTCTGGCAGTCATTCTCTTCCCAGCAGCAGGCTTGTTCCTGACAGCCAGGGCAAGAGAAGGTGGAACTCTGCAGGCAGATTCCTGTAGAAAGGTGGGAATGCACTCGGCAAACACACGGGAGAAGGTCAGAATTGAAAAAAATGAGATAACATTGTTTAACGATGATATAACAGATCTATCCATCCAATGTTTGAAATTCCAGCACAACATTCATAATGTTATGTGGAAATAACAGCATAATGTCCAGTGGACATTGCTCCTGGATCCAGCCAGGGACACAGAAGTCTCAAGTAGCTGGCTCCAAGCTTCAAAGGACTGTGACTTCTAGAAGTCTCCTTCTAATATTGAACCAGAATCTGTCTCTTGGTAATATCGCCCTTTGGGGTCTGGTTTTATCCCCAGGGTTATCTGATACAAATCTAATCTTTCTCACACTTTTCAGATATTTAGTGGCAACTATGGTGTCTCTCACGTCTTCTAGCCCCTCGTACCATCATAT